TCTAACGAATCTTTGTTATCGCTCCCGCCACGCCTACGCATCATCATTGCAGTTTTTTTTTTTTAATAATTAGATTTTCCGGGGAAACTTTTGCGATACAGCTTTTGGGAATTTTGTTTTTTCATGGAACTTGGCGGACTACCGCTTAGCCGTACGCTTCCGAACCTTATATATATATATATATATATATATAGCATATATATACAGCATTAAATCATCGTTTTCCAACATCTTAACAATATATATATATATATATATATATATATATATTGTTAAGATGTTGGAAAACGATGATTTAATGCTGGATGAGATTTACAATGCGGTTTGTAAATCGGCGGTTCGGGTCAGCACGCTCAAAAACCTCGAGCCCTCTCGTTCGCCTTTTGCTGCACGAGCCCGTCGTCCTTTTCTTTTCCTAACAGTAGCCCCCCGGTGGATGGAGACGCCGGTCCTCCGGCGGCTGTTAACGGAGGATGGTGGTGGTGTTTAGGTGTCCGGGCGGCGATAGGGGCGGATTCTGGCGACGTGGACAATGTCCGATGCGCGGGATCGGCGATCGCGAGGTGGCGATACAGGGGCAACCTCGTAGTTGGTAGCGGAAAGTTGACGGGTGATACGAAAAGGGCCGATAAACTTGCTTTGAAGCTTTTCGCATTTCCCGAGGGCACGTGAAGGAGACCAGATAAGAACCTCGTCTCCGATGTTATAGGTCGCTGGGCGGTGGGATGCATTGTAGCGCAGCTCTTGCTGCTGCTGGGATTGGGACGTGTGGATACGAGCGAGCTGGCGGGCATCTTCGGCGTGGGAGACGATATGGACCGGATAGGAGCCCTGGGCCCGTTCGTCCACGTAGGGCAGAACCGTGTCCAGTGTCGTGAAAGGTTCTCTGGCTTAAAGAAGATGGTATGGTGAGAAACCAGTTGTTGATTGGCGAGCCGTATTGTACGCATATGTAATGTAGGGAACAACGGCGTCCCAAGTAGTTTGATTGTCGGTGACATATCGCGAAATCATATCAGATAAAGTATGATTGAGGCGCTCGGTTAGGCCATTCGTTTGCGGATGGTAGGCGGTTGTGACGGTGTGAATGGTGGAAGCCAGCCGCAAAACTTCTTGAAGAAGTTTTGAAACGAAGGGTGTGCCTCTATCGCTTATGATGTATTGAGGCGCTCCGTGACGCAACAAAATAGTTTGTAAGAAGAAAACGGCAACTTCCTCGGCGGTAGCAGACGAGACGCATTTTGTCTCGGCGTAGCGGGTCAGGTGGTCAATGACGACAATTATCCACCTGTTGTTTGATGTGGACAGGGGAAAAGGGCCCAGGAAGTCGATTCCAATCCGCTGAAAGGGTCGTTGCGGTTGGGGAATCGGCCGCAGTAGACCCGATGGCGAAGTTGTGGAGCTTTTCTTCGTTTGACAAAGATGACATGATCGAACATAACGATTGATGGTACGAGTCATGCCTGGCCAGAAGTAGCGTGTGCGAATGCGGAAGTACGTTTTTGAGAAACCAAGGTGTCCGGCGGTTGGGTCATCGTGACTGGCTCGTATGATTTCTCTTTGTAATTGGCGAGGGATCACGAGGAGCCATGGACGACCTTGGACGTCGTAGTTACGTCTGTAGAGGATGCCGTCGCGAAGTTGGAACAGTCGTGCACGCCGCAGGGTGCGTCGACTTGCATGGTTCGTTGGATGGAGTAGGCAGGAGATTATCTGACTCAACGTTTCGTCAGTTTGTTGAGCGATACGAATGTCAATAGTATCTAGAACTGCGGTGACATCGGTGAGGGGAGCGATGACAGAAGGCGCAGGGTCATTGGGAAGAGGGCATCTAGAAAGGCTGTCGGCATCGATGTGTCGTTTTCCGGATTTGTACTTGATCGTAAATTGGTAGTCTTGCAACTTTAGAGACCAGCGACCAAGGCGTCCTGAGGGGTCCTTAAGTGTGGCAAGCCAACAAAGGGAGTGGTGATCCGTAAGAATTGTAAAGTGAGTCCCATAAAGGTAAGGACGGAATTTAGTAATTGCCCACACAACAGCCAAGCATTCCCGTTCGGTAGTAGTATAATTTCGTTCGTATGCTTTGTCAAAGTTCTACTGGCATAGGCAATGACACGTTCGGCACCAGATACGGTTTGAGCTAAGACTGCACCGATACCATGTCCGCTGGCATCCGTTCGAATCTCAGTAGGCGCGCCTTGAACGAAGTGATCAAGGATGGGGACTGAGGTCAGTGCAGCTTTTAAGTTTTGAAAGCCCGTACTCTGAATAGAAGTCCATTGAAATGATACGTTATTTCGGAGGAGGCTGTTTAAAGGCTCGGCTATGTGAGCAAAACCGGGGATAAATTTGCGAAAATAAGTGCAAAGTCCAAGAAACGTACGTACGTCTTTTGTGTGTTTTGGGACTGGAAATTCTGTTACGGCCTGGACTTTATCTGGGTCAGGACGCAGACCATCAGCACTGACAAGGTGTCCTAAAATTTTGATCTGGCGGGCTCCGAACACGCACTTCTTTTAATTCAGTTGCAAAGTGACTGTTTGAAAGCAGTCGAGGACTTGACGTAGACGGTGTAAATGTTGGTCAAACGTCGATGAAAAGACGACAACGTCGTCCAGATAGCAGAGGCATATGGTCCACGTTAGTCCCCGCAGAAGGGTGTCCATCATCCTTCCGAAAGTTGCCGGGGCGTTACATAGGCCGAACGGCATCACGTTGAACTGGTACAAGCCATTGGGTGTAATGAATGCTGTCTTAGGCTTGTCAGTGTCGGCGACAGGTATTTGCCAATAACCGGATCGGAGATCCATGGAGGAAAAGAAGGAAGACCCTTGGAGGGTATCTAATGTGTCGTCAATACGAGGTAGTGGGTAAACGTCTTTTTTAGTAACGCTGTTCAAGCGGCGGTAATCCACACAAAAACGCCAAGAGCCGTCCTTTTTCTTAACGAGTACAACCGGAGAAGACCAAGGGCTTGAAGAGGGCTCTATTACATTCTTGTGGAGCATATCAGTAACATGATTGGCAATTGCGTTTCGTTCGGCGGCGGAAACACGGTATGGGCGGCTCCGAAGTGGTGATGCGTTACGAGTGTCGATGGTATGATGAAGGACTGTAGTCTGGGCTAGTGGACGACTATTAAAATCGAACAGCGCCTCGTATGTAAGTAAGAGTCTTGTTAGGGCGTCTCGTTCGCAGGTTGTTAGACTTGGGTCAGTCATCTGAGTAATGCGGGTTGAGATGTCACTTTTTGTGTTCAGGAGGACAGGTTCGGCCTCGGAAACGTCAGAGAGAGTGGCTAAGGTGTCCTGAAAATGTCTTCGTAGCGTGGCTAGGCGTGTACCTTGACATCTTCACTTAAACAGCGCAAATAAGTTACGTAAGGAAGAGACAACAGGAAGGAAAGAGCGCTGTGAAGATGTCTATCCAACTCGCCCAGCAACTCATTTTGGTGTACCTTGACAAAGAATTTGTGGCTGGGCGGAAACATTTGTTGCGAAGAGGCCGATGCTTCCGTTTCCCGTGGGGACAATAGAGTAGGGAATGATGACAGGGTTTTTTTCGGCAGTGGTTTGCATCGGCTCGACGAGACCGTACGGCGCTTCGAAGGGCTGTGAAGGCTTGAGAGTGACAGCGACAGCAGACAGTGGAGGTATTAGATAGTCATCGTCTGCGTGGAGGGATATAGGAGCGTCGTCATGGGAGTCTTCACTCCCATGACGACTCGCCTGCTGATGGCTCATCTCTTAACACCGAGCTCCAGCATATTCGAAAATCTGTGCAAGACGAACTCCGTGCTGCACTCCATCCAATCCCCCCGACTCCATCCGTCTACACGCCGGCACCGCATACCCCGCACCTCCACCACTTGTTAAGATGTTGGAAAACGATGATTTAATGCTGGATGAGATTTACAATGCGGTTTGTAAATCGGCGGTTCGGGTCAGCACGCTCAAAAACCTCGAGCCCTCTCGTTCGCCTTTTGCTGCACGAGCCCGTCGTCCTCTTCTTTTCCTAACAATATATATGTTTACATATATTTATTACTTTATTAGCTTTTTAAATTGTTTGGGCGACTGCTTGTGTAAAACTTTTACACGAAGCTCACCCATTCCTTGGATGTCGCTTCTCCGCAGTATACTGATGATGGTGGAGAAGCGCACTCAACGGAGCCAACTGACTGGCTTTAATAATAGAAAGGGCTCAAGCAACGAGAAGAAATGTAGCGAACCTCCTGACTACTGTCCGATATCCATAAGGAGGTTCAGTGGAACAGTACGTTAGTCGAGACGATAATTAAGGATTTCAAAACTCTGCACATACCCACCGATATACAATCAATCACAGCAGCAAAAACCCGAGCTATTAAGGAGTCTTAGAACATTGTTCCGATAATGATACCCGATAACATTCCGGTGCGTGCGCAAATGCGTCTGCGGAGTATCGGGTTTAAGTTACCGAAGTTATCGGAGCGGTCTACAAAATTCTCTATCAGGGAGGTTACGTAAACTTTTTTTTTCCCCCTATCAGTTAAGCTCTTCCGAAAAACGCCGCTACTGCGCATGCGCGACGTTAACCTCGTCTGCGGAGCTCTGAATCTCGTAGTGGGTTGCGGAAAGCGTTGCGGGACGACGGGAACGATGCACGTAAATTCTCTATCAGTTTCGGTAGCAACAAAGAAAACCTAAAGTTAAGCGCAACGTTAGATCGCATTCCTGACATCTTGGTAAAATGTAATGGAATGTAAGGGGTAAACTTTTTTTGTTTGTTTTTCGCGCACGGTCTACATTCGCATACTGCCAAGCGGCAGGAACCAATATGGCCCCACCGCGTCAGATCGACTCCTTCCCGTCGGTCAATGCGTGCCTCCACTTCGGAAGCGGCGCTTGCATCGAGGCACTCTACCACTAGTGATGGCGTTCGGGGAGAAAGGCGCCGGCGTCTTCTATATGGGTGCTATTGGCTGCAGATTGCCTCCCCGTCGCTTGTCCTTCACCCAGGTCGTCTGTCGATCCCCGGGATGGCGGTGCCGTCGGCCGCCTCGGCCGCCCTGTGCCAGTACGCCGACGGGCTCCGCCGCGAGATGGTCAAGTTCGGGGTACAGGTGTGCACCGTCGAACCGGCCTTCTACAGGTGGGCACGGCGCACGCGCACGAACGACATGGGCTCCGGGTACGTTCGCCTGGTGCCTGAGCAAAGCAGCAAACTTCCCCTTGTTAGCCGCCTTGAGAAGCCGGCTAACGACGCAACGAAAAGGCTAAAGGCACGTTCATACAATTGCGTCGTGAAGCACTGCGCCTCCCCATTGGCTAGCCGTAAGTGCCGCCGTAGCAACAGCTTGACGCAAGCAGTCTTAACGAGTCTCAAGTGGTTGCAGTCGCACTCGAACGCAACTGTGCGAATCGGATTTAATTTAGCTCAGAATCAGCACAATCGAAACGCTTGGAAGTGACCGAATGAAGTTGAAAAAATGAAAGCCGTTTACAACTCCTTGTAACGCCGAATTAGAGCGCAGCTCTTGAGGAGGAGGATGGAAGGGTACTGCGGGGAGGGTATACCCTCCTCCCTCCCTCTTTCCTCGTCATCCTGCCTGCTACTCCGCCACGGGGGCCACGTGGCCCCCGTAACCCCCCCCCCCCCCCCCCCCGAGGTCACGCGACCCCCAAGGTCACGTGGCCTCCGAGAGGTCACGTGACCTCCAGGGGGGGGCGGCACGTGATCTCAGGGAGGTCACGTGACCTCATGGTTACGCCGACGCCGACGCCGCTCAAGCCGGAAACGGTCGCCTAAAAGCTGCGCTTTAAAACGTCACACCCGGTTCTCAGAATCGCCCGATCGTCCCGAACGTTTGCCGGGTCCCTTTGGGCAGCGTTCTTCGACGTGCGCCGCGCAGGACGGGGACAACGGACCGAGACGCCGTGTCGACCGCCCTGGACTCCCTGACCAAGCGGATGGACCCCTCTGTGCGCGAAGCCTACGGCGAGTCCTACCTGGAAACCTTCCGGTCCAGCTTCCCCAAGAGGCTGTGGAGGTTCTCGCGCGGCGACCTGGACGAAGTCAGCGACGCCGTGCTCGGAGCCCTGCTCAGCCCGGAGGCCAACGTGCGCTACCGTTGCTGCAGCTGGCGACAGGTCTTCACGTGGGCCGTACTCGAGCTGCTGCCCCGCCGCATCGGCGACTACTTCATGCTAGTGCAGTTCACGCCTAGGTACCGGGTGATGGCCGCTGCCCCGAGGTCGCCGCCAGACCTGACGTCGGTCGAGCAGAGCCACGTGGACGTGCTCAGGGACCTCTACGGGTCACCGCCGCGCAGCCCCTTCGGGAGCGGATCGCCCCCGGCACAGGTCGACGCCTCCCAAACAACGAGGCCATAAGTTTGGGATTTTTACGTCACTTATTGGAGGCCAGCGTATGACACATAATGGACGCAAACATTGACGCGGCGTGGCCCTCGTGTAAGGGACGGGCCCCACGCTGGGCCTCCGGTTAGTGACGTGAAAAATCCGGCACTGAGGCCTTGTTGTCTAGGGGCGATTGCACGGGCGCCTTCGACGTTCGGGCTCGATGTGTTTTGATAGTCTTGGCTCTCGCCCTGACGCGAATGGACGAATAATGGCGAGGAGGAGCTATTGGCACATCCACCGTTTCAGGTGGTACACTTGTGACCCGATAGCCGATGATGGTACAGAGTGCTGCGTGCTACCGACTTGGAACGTGTTCGCTCGCCCACGAATCGCTGTATTCGGGACTGGAGTCACTTCGTGGACTCCTAGATGTATTCTTTTTTCGTGACCCGCATTTCTACGGTTAGTTTGTGATAGCATACTTGTAATTCTCAAGAGTGCTGGAGTCGGAGGGTTCACATATAAATTGAAACCCATTAGGACGCCTGTTGTTTGCTATGTGAACAAAAGTATGGGACAAAGATCTACAGCTGTACATTTTCCTCTCTCTACGATCAGAATAAACTCTTGACTTTTTCTCCATATGCCTAAGTTATATTTTATAGAGATATGAAATACCTGCCGTTGTTACTCATGTATAGCATTATATCATCTGTCACGAGGGCAAATTTAGTATAGCTTCTCAGCCAGTTTAGGGAGTTTTCGCGTGAGATCGTGCTATAATGGTCCGGGTCATATATTTATGTATATATATTTATGTAAAACATGCCTGAAATACATGTTCTTGGTAGGAGCGTTAAGCTAAATGCGAACCCCATAGCTGATTTTATTCTGGAGATATAAAATTTCGAAACTTGAGGCGTGGAGATTGCCAAGGTTTCTCTATGGTGTTTTGCACAGTCGTCGATTACACACCGAAGCATGCACGTCGTTATACATTTTTCTAATTATTTTATAAAAACGTTTACGACATGTACATAAAAAGTTAAAAATTAGAATACAAAAAATGCTATGCAAAAAAAATAAAAACAAAACGAAATACGTCAAATATACACGTTTTAAAGACACGTTCACACATTATTTACCAACAAACTACTTTATATAAAACGACGCAAAATATATAAAATGATCATCTTTAAATGCATTTTACGCATATATAAGAAAACATATTCTTACCAATTATTGTGTTCTGTTATTCACGCATAAAGACAGCCAATTTCTCTAAATTTGGCAAACTTGCCTGCCAAATTTAAGCAAACAAAAGCTCAATTTTCTATTTTTTTAGCCCTCCTTAACCGTTTACAGTGGCTTGAACTAACTTGTGATGGCAAAACATTGGTATACATATGAGCTCCTTAAGATAAAAACGACAACAAACCTTCACTCAAATTGAGCTAGCTTGCCTTCGTTATAGGGGCTTTGCCGCACGACGTCGGCCCAATATTTTTTTCTTACAACCAACAAAGGCTGTACAGCGGTGCTGCTCTATTGTAGGGCATAGGAAGTCATGCTGTCCCGAGCTTAGTTAGTTCTAAAACTCCTCCCTGTGTTACAGGAAGGTCTGGGCTCTGTAAGATAAACGTAAAAGTACAAACAATAAAAAGGTAAAAATGCAAGATTAGTACGAAACATTATTTAAGAAATAAGTAATTGGAATTCTAAAATCAGCAGTCTAATATGTTCACATTTGTGAACATAATAATAAATTCACGAGTTGAAACCATTCTAATTTAATACACGAAGTGACAGCGGTACTCTTGACGTGTTGCACTTTCACCTACTTTAAAGAAATATCTTACCAACATAAACAAACTAGGAAACTGTCCCCACTCACACACTCACACAAACACAGCTTAAAACAGACGATCGAACGTTCGCGCTTCCCACACTTTCAAGTTCCATTACGTTTAGTTGACGTAAAAGACGTTGGGTGGCGCCACCGATCCGCGGCAATGTGCCCATGGAAACTTATGGCTATTCACGAGAACCGGGAGACATTCCCCAGTAAAGTTGAGCAAGACATTCACAAGAAAATTGTGAAACGAGACGTAGACCGGCTGGAATTCTATCGAAACGAATTCGTTCGAAACGGAATTTTAGGAACTCTTTAGAGAAATTGGCAGAAGGTGGACAGCAGAATATTTATCAATCTACGAGCAACGTGGACACAAAACGGACCCGAAGATTCGCTTCAATAGTCTTGAGTAACGCTTGAAAGAGTACAAACAGAATCAAGAAGCGATACTGTCAAAAAAAAAAGAAAAGGAATGTGGGTAAAAAAATGTAAAATACGCCATATAAAAAAAAAAAAAAAAAAATTCCCTGTCGCTGTGTGTTGTACGTGGAACTATCATGGTTTAGCGCTAGTAACCTACAGGCGTTTATTTTCGAGCCATGCCTCCGGGCTTCTCCACCTATCTTAACCCCATTGACTCCACCCACTCCTCTCCATTGCACTGACTCAATGAACCATCGACGTTCCCCGTCGAGTCGGCCTGTGTCCACAGAATCGGGGAATGACGAGCTGCGGCCGGTCACGTGTCAATTTTCCAGCCACATGCAGCGCGAGAACTGAATTTGTGGGTTGGTCACTTGCACCTGACCAATACCACCTGGACAGAAGGCCTCCACACGCGTCATCATAGTCAGATCGATCAAGGCGAGAGATTGGGCACGAGTGCTGCGTCAGTGTTCGGCTGCGGCTCGTGGCCAATCAGCGCGTCGAAGGTCGGGCTCGGGTCCAATAGCCGACCGAGCGCGATCCGACTGTGATGACGTTTCATAGAGGAAGAGGAAACCATGCGGAGGCCTTCTGTCTAGGTGGTGTTGACCTGAGACGTAGTGATGTGACGTCATTTTTGCCGCTAAATTTAGCGGGAAAACTGAATTGGCGTTGAGATCACGTGACGTCAATTTTTCCGCTAAATCTAGCGGGGAAACTGAATTTGTGTACAGGTCACGTGACACGTACTAATCTGACGTCATTTTCCCGCTAAACATAGCGGGGAAACTGAATTGGTGCTGAGGTCACGGTACGTCAATTTTCCCGCTAAATCTAGCGGGGAAACTGAACTTGCTTATAGGTCACGCGTGACCATGACATGTCAGTTTGTTAACTTTAGTTAAGTTTAATAACTTTTTTGTTTATTAACTTTTAATAAAAGTTATTAACTTTTTCAATATTGGTGTAATGGGTCGTGTTCTAACTAAACAATGAACAGTAGAAACGATTACGGCCTAACCTCATTTAAAAAGTTCAAATGCCAATAAAATCATTTTTTCGGTTGTTTATATAATTATTTATTACAGCGCTTCGGGGTTGTTAAAGAGAAGTGTGGACATGGCCGGACTGGACACGCGCTCGCTGTCTTACGGCCTCTTCAGTGACGCATGACAACACCTATGTTTCCGAAGCGGCACTGGCACGTAGTGGGCTTCAACGCCACTGGGCGGCCAGGAGTTGTGCGGCAGCGCGGCCGTATAATGCGTCACTGTGCTATACTTGGGGACAACTTTCTGCAGCTATGCATGCAATCAAAGGAACGGCAGTGTGGGCTTGAACGCTGGTCAAAGCTGTGCACGCGTGTTCTCTTCCCCTTCTTGGAAATGCCACAGAAAGCTATCAACGAGTGTGGACTGGTCGAAGCGATAGTTTCCAAACGATTTACGTGAAGCAACGCGTAAATCGTTTGGAAAGTATCGCGGAGCTTGCTATGCCATATTCCTTGCGTTTTTCTGGAAATGCGACTTGCGCGTAAGATGCTGCTATATTCTCGGTGACTGGCGGCGGTGAATGTTAATTCTGAGTAGGACTTAACGCTCTGAAGAGGTGCTTTTCCCCCGGCAAATCGAAATGCACAAAATTACGTTGCAAACTCTGCAACTGTCGCTTCTCTGCAGTCCTCTGGTGCACAATGAGAAGTACAGGGTGTCACAAAAGAAAATTTGCACGTTCTTTTTTACCGCAAAATTAAACTAGGCATCGCCGAACGCTCATTCTCCGCCCAAAGGTATCGCTAGAGGTCACAACCGGATGCCAACGTTTCAGCCAGATCCGATAGATTAATCAAAAGTTAGAAGCGATTTTCTGAAAATTTCAATGGGAAAATGGCGGCCGACGGAGATTCGAACACATGGGGCTCTATGGCACCAGAAACCGAAAACGGGCAAAAATGGGCTCCTGTTTCCCGTTGAAATTTTCAGAAAATCACCTATAACTTTTGATTAACTTATCAGATCGGGCTGAAACATTGCCATCTGGGCCCGTTTGCTCGAAGCGCTAACCGCGGCTGAAGTTAGCCGCAGTACCTAGGAGAGGGATTTTGAGATCACGTGACTGGGCTCGGTAGGGATGCGGGGAAACATGGCGGTGCCCCAGTGAGTGAGCGCCGGTCGCTTTGGAACTAATGTGTCGTTGTAGCTGCAATATCGGGCGCGTTAGTCAGCAACGAATAATGCAGGAGGCTTTCGCTTTGCCTTACCTCACTTAAACCGCAAAGCATGGGCAATGAAATCGCCGCATTTTTTAGATAGTGTTTCGATTCTGGGCATTCCTAAGCCTAAATGAACGCGATAATTGTCGGCATGGCAACGTCTTTGGAAAGCGGATTGTTGCTAGCACACAAAAGCAGACAGCGTCCTGACAGACTTTTTTCTAAATTATCCAAGCATCGCGAGGAGAACGCTGGAAGTATAATTCTACGGTTCACGCGCGCTAAACTTCTTATAAAAGATTTGAAGTAAAAAATCATAAAAGGCTTTAACGAAAGCGCGTGCAAGGCAAAATTTGTTTTATACTTTTTGCTTTAGAACGGTTACTACTCCAGACGCCAGCACGCGCGACGCGTGCAACTACAGTCGTAGCATGCACCTCGGTGCTTGGATAATTTAGAAAAAAGGTCTGTTGGGACGCCGTCTGCTTTTGTGTGCTATCAACAATTCGCCTTCAAAGACGTTTTTATGCCGACAAT